CTGGGTCCAATCCTCCCTCTCTTCTCTTTCCTCGTTGTGTCCAGCCTCCAGCTCGCTCCACCCGACCTCTCTCTCCTTGGCCCGACAACAACAGATGAAGCGGCCTGCTCGCTGTGTTCAGCCTCCGGTCCGCTCCGCCCGACCTCTCTCTCCTTGGCCCGACAACACCAGATGAAGCGGCCTGCCGCTGTGTTCACCCTCCGGTCCGCTCCGCCCGACCTCTGTCTCCTTGGCCCGACCACACGAGACTAAGCGGCCTGCCCTGACTGTTCCAACACCAGAGGAGAACTCCTAAGGGAGCTAGCTACTAGATTTGTTCGAGTAGTCTGTAGCTCCTTCACCCCGTTGGTCCCTGCCTGCGTGCCAGCCCGGGCGGCACAAGCGCATGTGTGGCTGATACAGAGAGCAGAGCACGGCCACGACAGTCGAAATCCGCTGAGAAGTACATTACCTACTCACTTGCCTAATCAATCAGTCCCAACGAAAGATGCTGCCGCGCCCGCCTATGCTCGGCCTTCTCGCCTCCGCCCCCTCAATGAACAAGAGGACGCGGGCCCGTTGCTAAGCCAGGGGCGCGGGCCTATGAGGGCCGGGTCTCGGTGCAGCTCTTGGTGGTAGCAACAAGTATTCAACTGATAACTTTGCCGGCCAACGTGGCCTTCCGCTGGGACAGATTGCGCCGCGCAGCCAGCACTGCGGCAGCCGTTACTGGTGCGTTTTGGCCCCGCCCAGGCATTGTTCACCACCTTGCAGGCCCTGGCGAGCATACTCACACTCAAAGCCTCTCTCTGCAGATCGAGGCCGGCGGACAGTATACCCGCAGCGACCCTCTAGTGTCCCTGCCACAAACACCTCCGAACAAATCGTGGTCGGCGGACGGTGCACCCACGACAATCCCCCGCCACCCGACATGTTGACCTCTCCGTCCTTGTCCCCATGCAGTCAGGAGTCTATTAACGCCTTGGTCACGCTAGAGTTCCGATGGGCGTGCTCAAGGTCTTTGACTGAGGTTTTGGCCACCGTCCCCGGCGTCGGCCTTAGAACCGATTACCGAGGTTAAAAAAAACGTAGAAAAATAATAAAAGCAGATAAATAAGTAAATGATAGAAATAAGAATGAACGTCGCGTGTTCCGCTGGTTTGCGACGCCGCGCACACCCAGGCTGCGCATGGTTGCGCCTCGCCGTCAATACCTCGCATGTGCCGCTCACCCAAGCTTCCTTTCGCGCGCGCCGTCAGACGAGCGAGGCTGCACTGGTGTATCTTGCAGAAAACACGCCAAATACCCTTGTAAGGGTATTTGGCACAACAATGTGGCCTTGCGCCATGTCAGCAGAGGCTGGCGCTGAAGTAGGAAGGCACCAACGTACAACAACAGTCTCGCGTCATCGTCCACAATGACAGCGTCAAGCCAGCGTCCTGCCAGCGTCAAGCCAGCGTCCAGCTAGCGTGAATGCATCATAGCAAGATTGAAATTGGACTCCCTACATGCAGGGTCTTATGTAGCGTTTCACAGCCGAGGGCCTGGATTGTGTACAGTTGCAGACTTCCACTTGGTCCGAATACTGTCTTGGTACCTGCATACAAACAAGCATGTGTGTTTGACCGATGGCCTGGGCTGGGTCCATACTGACTTTGACTCTTGGGTCTCGGGCAGTTGACCGAAGTTAACAGTCGGACGCTCAGGTCCTGGAGCTACTCCGGAGGGGTCTTTTGCCCCTTCGTACCTCATGGCCTGAGACAGAGGTCGCGGCCTGGCAAGGCCCTTAGACATTCCACGAGGCATACGGAGCCGGTTACTGCATAAGGTTCTTCTCCTCTTTATCTGCACATGCTGCCAGGCTATGAAGGCTTCCCTTTCAGCTTTTGTGTCTGCTGTTAGCTCAGTATGAAACCCGAACTTCTCCAGCCAATCCTCATCGTCCACTCCTTGAATCTCAGTACACCAGCTCGGTTGGTTTCTGCGACTTCACCCCCTATTTCTCCCTCAGGCAAAACTTGTCCCTCTTCCTCTTCTTCTTCTTCGTCTAGCTCCTTCTGCAAGTCTTCTTCGTTCTTCCTCATCTCCTCCTCCATTTTCGTTTTTTCTTCCTCTATTCGCTCTCTCTCTTCTAGTTTTTCTTTCACTTCCTCCTCCTTCCTCCCCGTCCTCTCCTCCTTTTCTTTTTTCCTTTCGGCCAGCTTTCTATCAATTTATGCCTGCTGGTCAGTTGTATATGGCTGTGTGGTCCCACCAGACCTCAAGGTTACGCTCATACCGCACGCCCGGTGGAAGCCCAGAGGAAACAGGAAGCGGAGGACTGGACCCCATAGCACGGACAGGGTCAAAAATGTGAACATTGGGTGGTCGTCCATCGTGATCAAAAGGACAGGTAAGTAACCTCCCCCTCACCACGTAGACCTAGCCGCAAAACTTGTCCTCTAGATTGGAGACTAACCTGCCTGAGTTCTTCCCCCCCCACAGTGTCAGTACAGCTACCCTGTCAGGCTGGTGGGCAACCAGCAATTTAAGGTCAACCAGCAAGGACCTGAGGAATTCTTTAAGTACGCAGACTGGACGTCGTGCCCATCGGGATTTGAAGGTTTGCTCTCAAGACTTATAGCTCCTCGCTGCGTGAGCTCCGGTTCGGTCGCATGCCGGTCAGTACTGGTCTTAGGGCTAGATGAGTTGTTGTACGAGCGCTCACCGCTCATGCCCATGCTTCCTACTTTCGGTTGAGTCATCCAGCTGCCGAGCTTCTATCCTAGACACGACCTACTTTATGCACATGTGTATGACCAGATGCTGACTTAAGACAAAATGAGATATGCCACCAAGTGTTCAGTCCAGCAGCAGTAACACCAAGATGTGGGAAGGTACACATGACACTCATTCATGAAGCTCCAAGAATACGCTCCACACATGCTGGTACGTACTCAGCATCCCCCCCCCACTCTGCCCACTTCTTCGGCGGCTAACCCCACTGTCAAACTCCAAATCTCATCTCGCCGGCCTTAATCTTGCCAGCGATCACCACCAGCGGATGCAGCGAGTACCAGCTCCGATACTAATTTTGCATTGAGCCAGAAATCCAGACTGGAGACCAGAGGTGCAAAGTCCAGATTAACACAGCTTAGAAATTCCAACAAATTACCATATTAACAGTTTCTGAGTTCCAGTCACCAAGCGCTCAACAGTGTAGAGTTCAGCAACCCAAATCCAGCATCCTCATCTAGGTAGGTGACGTCCTCTCTCCCTGTTCCGCTCTCTCTCTCTCTCTCTCTCTCTCTCTCTCTCTCTCTCTCTCTCTCTCTCTCTCTCTCTCTCTCTCTCTCTCTCTCTCTCTCTCTCNCTCTAGGCCTCACTAAGACCTCTATCCAATAGGTCTACAGATCGAACCCCTACCATCTACGGACCTACGACAGCCTACCAACTGTTGTGAATACACAGGTCGCGGGTTCAACTCTCCGGGTTGACACAGATACTGTACACGGGCAAGGTAAGAACTTGGGATCGAACCCTGGGATCTGCATTCGCTACTGCTAACAGGTGAATACCGTTTCAGATTTACGAATTAAAAAAAATGAAAAATGAAAATTGGTTAAAACTAAAAAAAAAAAAAAAAAAAAGAAACGCAGGAAAGTTTTTTCCATTTTTGCATGACTGATATGGAGTCCTAAAAATTTTGCACAGGTAATTTCTTTCTTCTTCTTCGTCTTCTTCTTCTTCTTTGCTGTTTTTTCTTCTTCTTTGTTATGATCCTGGCCAATTTCGAGATACACATTCATCAGACATTACAATGCCGTCCAATTGCAGAAAGAAATGAATGAATTTGAGAGGAGAGAGAAGGTTAGAAGAAGAAGAAAAAGAAGCAAGAAAGAAGAAGAAGATGATGTACACCAGCATAGACAAATGACAAAGCTCTTCTTCTTCGCCCAACTCTCTCTTCCTATCTCCTCCTCTCTTATTCACACAAGAAATAATAATACAATGTTGAATGGCTGAACCAGAATCAATGTCCGAATCCCTCTTCTATTGCTGGTATCACTTGAGGTCCACCATAGCCATGGCCGCCTCCCTTACTCTTCACTCTCATAGGCCAAGGGTATGGCGGATTACTTGGGCCTTGCCCTGCTGTGCAGAGGACAAATTCAAAGCAGATATGGCTGCTCTAGCTCAGGCCGCCATGCCTGACTCTGCCTCAAAGCTTCTTGGTGTAGCTCTCCCCAGCTGGGGTGTCCCTGCTGCAGCGCCCACCAAGGTGATGAAGATGGCTGCCACCATAGCCAGGTAAGTACCTCTGGCGCTCCTCCCCCTTCCTGTCGTTCTTCCTCCTCCAAGTCCTCGGTTCTTCCCCTGCAGCGCTGCTCCAAGCTAGCGCTGCTCCAGCCAGTGCTCCAATCAATGTGTCGCCAAACTTGCACACCGACGATGAGGCTGGGCTCTTCGCCCGGCCTGGAGATATAGCGGCCTGCTTGCGTCTCGGGCAGTGACTTCCAGGCCGCTCGGCCTCCCAAGCAACCGGTACCTCCTCCCTTTTGGAGGGAAACATCATTGCAGACCTGTCTCTTATACACATCTAGATGTGTATAAGAGACAGGGGTATTGGGGGCCGCTATGGGGGTGTTGGTGGTGTATTAGGGGTTGTGGACCCTTTTTTTTCTTTCTTTTCTTTTGCGGTGTCCGGTAGGTGCCGACCAGCTGACCTGTCAAGGGCCGCTGACCGTCGGGCTATGCAACACTGGTTAAAAACATAATTTTCACGCCTAAAAAATATCGAGAAAAAACATTTTTTCATGCCAACAACACACAATGTCCATGCCTGTAATAGACAATTTATATGCGTACTAATGACATGATAAAAAAAACTGTAAGGTGTACTTTGGCTATCTTAAAGACCTGAAATTAGGGAAAAAGTGTCGGGCTTGGATGTATATGTAATTGTCTCTCTGAGTCAATCACGCCTAATTTGGTGAGGATTCCTATTGACCAATTAGTTCCCTGGACTCCTTTGACACCAGGGCAGCGGCAGATGCAATCGCTCAGCGGACAGGGAATCCCTTCTCGGGTGAAGGTTACGAGTTCGACCTGGAAGATCAGTCAGGAAGGAAGCTGGTGTTGTCTGATGGTGATCGCCGGTGAGAAGTTGTAGCTGTGCTATTCTTTTTGTACTTCGTTTCTTGAAATTCCATTGCATTTCGACTTTCTTTTAAGTGCTTAGCTTTTTTCTATTTTTCTTTCCCTTTTCCGACCCTTGCTTCTCTCTATTCTGCGGAGCTTGCTTTTCTTTTCCCCTTTTGCTTTCCCAATTCCCATTCATTCTTTTATCACGGTTCCTAAGGCTGTCGTTGAAAACTGGTAAGCTGCCTCAGTCTGCCCCTCCCCCTACCTTACCATGCATTCTGTTCGCAGGTAGAAGAAGGCATGCGGAGTCGAGCACAGTTCATGTCATTGTAAGCATGTTTGTGCATTTGAACTAGGGATGGCCAGCATAGGTCATGCATTTGGCTAGCCAGATGAAAACGTAAGCCACCTTTGGCTTTCCACCACCAGACAAAACACTGGCTTGGGCAAGGGCAAGGGCAAGAACCTCTGGCAAGGACAAGAACCTCTGTGTGTGTTGTCATGTTCGCTGTACACAACTTCACAAAGTAAAGTATGACTCTGCGAAACTGTTTTGTTGGACTTTCACCAGATAATCAGGAGGTTGAACGCTGACAGGCTGCCCAGGATGCATTTGACTAATGGATAAGGGCTCACCACGTAGCTCAGAGTTAGCGATATCCCTGAGAAAAGTGGCCGACTTTACTCACACCAACCCTGCAATCCTGGCAGACTGTCGGTCCAAACCCCTGACAAGACTAATACGACACAGCCATAAAACCCACTCTACACACCCACTCAGCCATGGATGCCCAATGGCACAACTGCCAGTACTGTCCCGATCCTAGCCGCATCGATCCGCGTGAACGGAGAGCTGCGCAAGGCTGTTTGGTGTGTGTGTGTGTGTGTGTGTGTGTGTGTGTGTGTGTGTGTGTGTGTGTGTTTATGTACGTATTTGATGTCACGATGTGTTTCCCTGCACCATGCATTTCTCCGGTGAAAGCTCACCGGCGCACCTTGTGTCCTGGATTTGTGGTGCCGTGCAGGTATGGCATGTTTATTTAGTGGCAAGATCGGCATTTACTAAGGAACATGGATATTCTCAAGTTCTTACCCCAGGCATCGCTCCTAAGATGATCCTGGCTAGCTCACCCAAGGGAGGAAGCAACTCACATTCCAGATTCAGCATATGTCAGATCTCATGCTTAATTGAATCACATAATGACTTATGTCAGCCAATAAACCCTCGCAAACAGCCAGTCATCCGATGGAACCCAACTTCAAAAAAAACGGGGGAGCATTAACCACAAAGCAAGACAGAAGCAGAAAAGAACCGACAGAGCAGATCGAGCCCTCCAGCTCTGCCTCTTCACGCGCTGGTCTGGCGGTAAAGGAGAAACCAAACATGCGTATTTAACCGGATTACATACGACAATCCTTCCTTCCGCATGGCTTTACGCATACGTGACTACCGCGGCCACGGGCAATTTGCCCACCGCGGCTGAAAAAGTAGGCCACGGCCGCGGCCAGGAGGTCCAGTTCGCGGCCCAATTTTTTGAATATTTGTTGGGGGGTAAAAAAATACGTGAAAAAGAAAGGGGTTGTAGGGTTTGCTAAACCCTACAACGCCATAATTGTTTTTTTTTTTAATTTGACTTGATTTGCAATCAGACTCGCTTTCTTTTCCACTTCGCATGCATGTAAACAGGTAGCACACCAAACTGGCGACCAGCGGCCACTCAAAGCTCAGAGATATGGTAATAAAAAACACAATTCAGATACAAGCTCGCTTCAGATGGCTGTGGCGCATCAGCGCTTGTACAACTCTCTGTTCGTCACTAGCTCAACTCTGCTGTTCACACACACACAACTCAGGATCACCCTGGATATCCCACACGTGACACACTGTCTCACACACATGCACACACTACATTCGTCTACCACCTATGGCGGCTATGGCCGCTCAGCCCTGCTGGCTATGGCCACTCAACCTCAACTCTGCCCACTTCGTCTTCGGGCGCTCTGCAGACCACCTCGCACAAGTCGCTCAAGCAGCGCTTCCGCATGGCTTACGCAGGAATGAATGAATGGCTGGGCGCTGCCTCTTGATTTATACTTCTGTAGCTCGTTGGTCTGCCCCTCTCCCATGCCCCTGGTGCACACAGTCCCACACGGTACTTGCTTGACTGGACTGACTGGGACCAGTACCACTGACTGCATGGGTTTGCACTGCCAACTCAATGCAGTCCCACTGCTGACGTACCGCAGTTGGGCTCACCACTTGCCCACTTGCCTCTGTCTAAACGTGAGCAATACTTCGAAAGGCCACCACTAGGGCCTTCCAGAAGGCTGGAGACTTGACCTTTCGAACACTGTAGCAGCTACGACCTTGACCTTTCAGGACTGTAGCAGCTACGACCTTGACTTCTCAGGACACCTACAGCTACGACCTCTAGGCCTCACTAAGACCTCTATCCAATAGGTCTACAGATCGAACCCCTACCATCTACGGACCTACGACAGCCTACCAACTGTTGTGAATACACAGGTCGCGGGTTCAACTCTCCGGGTTGACACAGATACTGTACACGGGCAAGGTAAGAACTTGGGATCGAACCCTGGGATCTGCATTCGCTACTGCTAACAGGTGAATACCGTTTCAGATTTACGAATTAAAAAAAATGAAAAATGAAAATTGGTTAAAACTAAAAAAAAAAAAAAAAAAAAGAAACGCAGGAAAGTTTTTTCCATTTTTGCATGACTGATATGGAGTCCTAAAAATTTTGCACAGGTAATTTCTTTCTTCTTCTTCGTCTTCTTCTTCTTCTTTGCTGTTTTTTCTTCTTCTTTGTTATGATCCTGGCCAATTTCGAGATACACATTCATCAGACATTACAATGCCGTCCAATTGCAGAAAGAAATGAATGAATTTGAGAGGAGAGAGAAGGTTAGAAGAAGAAGAAAAAGAAGCAAGAAAGAAGAAGAAGATGATGTACACCAGCATAGACAAATGACAAAGCTCTTCTTCTTCGCCCAACTCTCTCTTCCTATCTCCTCCTCTCTTATTCACACAAGAAATAATAATACAATGTTGAATGGCTGAACCAGAATCAATGTCCGAATCCCTCTTCTATTGCTGGTATCACTTGAGGTCCACCATAGCCATGGCCGCCTCCCTTACTCTTCACTCTCATAGGCCAAGGGTATGGCGGATTACTTGGGCCTTGCCCTGCTGTGCAGAGGACAAATTCAAAGCAGATATGGCTGCTCTAGCTCAGGCCGCCATGCCTGACTCTGCCTCAAAGCTTCTTGGTGTAGCTCTCCCCAGCTGGGGTGTCCCTGCTGCAGCGCCCACCAAGGTGATGAAGATGGCTGCCACCATAGCCAGGTAAGTACCTCTGGCGCTCCTCCCCCTTCCTGTCGTTCTTCCTCCTCCAAGTCCTCGGTTCTTCCCCTGCAGCGCTGCTCCAAGCTAGCGCTGCTCCAGCCAGTGCTCCAATCAATGTGTCGCCAAACTTGCACACCGACGATGAGGCTGGGCTCTTCGCCCGGCCTGGAGATATAGCGGCCTGCTTGCGTCTCGGGCAGTGACTTCCAGGCCGCTCGGCCTCCCAAGCAACCGGTACCTCCTCCCTTTTGGAGGGAAACATCATTGCAGACTCTGATATTGCCCGTACAGGCCCTAGACTCAGACTAGTACTCGCTTAGACCTAGCCTACAACTACTGGGCCTCTAAAAGTGCCACTTTTGTCTTCTTCTGCTCGGCCTCCAGTACCCGGCACATCTACCGCTTCATGGTGTGGTACCGGCCTAGCTGCTACTTGAGTGTTTCCCCGCTGCTTCAAGTGCTGCAGGCCTCTTTGCCCGGCACTTGAGTGTTTTCCCCCGCTGCAATCCTCAATGCCACGGCCACGGTAAGTACCGGCCCTGAGGGCCCAACGAACGAACAATTGCCCTTCCCGGCCATACACACACTCAAGTCAACCAGCACTCAGACAGACATGCAGTCCAGCAAGAGTGCACACACACAGACTTAGTAGCAAGTGGAAAACTCAGCAAGGCATTGACTTCTTCTTCTTCTTCTTCTTCTTCTTCTTCTTCTTCGTCAGCACGCCAGTTGGTTGAGTGGAAGCGTGAGCCTTCCTGTGCTGCGTCGCACAGTTGGGCCCGGCCTTGGTAGTTGCTCCTGGGCACACGCACATCACAAATTGGCTATGGGCCTTCGGAAAAGCAGCATTGTCGACGTATGTACCCCAGGTCCTGGGCAAATGCAGCAAACGGCTCAGATTTGGAAACATTGGTCCTCTCCAACTGTAAAGGGTCCAGGCCGTCACCTGCACAGCTGGGCCTGGGCGCAGGCACTGGGGCCTGACCAGAAGCTACTGGAAGCTTCCCAGCTAGGCCACACGCAGCCAAACAGAGGCTGCCACTTCCGTATAGGGAAGGAGGCAGCCAGAGCCAGGTATTCTGGCCCACGCAGGCAATGCGGTCATGCTGCTGCGCTGCAGCGTTGCAGCCAGGGCGCTTGTGGGGCGCATGAGAGGTGAGAGGGGCGCTGCTGGGCAGCGGAGCGCTAGCAGCCATATTCGGGCTGCAGGGCGCTAGGGGTTAAGAGGGCGATCGGTGGTCTTCAGGAAGGAGGCAGTGTGGGTGGTCAGGGTCTGATGAGGGGAGACGAGATACGTACCTGGTACATGAGAGAGGTCGGCTATGGTGTTGTCGTCATGTACATTGGTCTCCAAGAGTCGAAGTGAGCCTGTTTTCGTGAATACTGATGTCGGTAGGATAGGCAAGTAGTGTAGGCTGGGCGCTGGGCGCCAGACAGAGAGGAGCAACATTGGATATTGTGTTGGTGTGGCCTGAGGGCTTGAGCATTGGCTCATGACTTCATTGCATTGCTCTTATCTCAGTGCATTTGTGCTATCTGCTGGTACACGACTACTTGGACATCTGTGTGATTTCGCAACTCAGCTTTCTGTATATCGTTCCCGCTCATATTCCTTGCAATTTGGTAACGGAGCTGGTTCGAGATTGC